CACACACACACACACACACACACACACACACACACACACACACACACCCCCCCCCGAGTTCTCTCCAACTTGCCCTATTCCTATGAAAGGCACCATCATTTTCCCCAAGGCACCAGTCTTAAAGATCTTACTTACTAATTTCTCATTGTCTCCATACCCACTTACCCAGTTCTTTCTGCGTCTTTTTATCGAGGATTTCTTGTATCTGTTCATTCCTTTCCATTTTCACTGCTACCATCCTAATCTAGATCCTTATTACCTCACCTTGGATTATTGCAATGGCTTCCTAACTGGTACCTTCCTCTCATTTCCTCATTCATCCCGCAAACCATGATCAGAAGAATCTTTCTAAAATATTATATCATCTCTCTCTCTCTAATACATAACTCCTCAAGGTCTATAGAATGAAGTCCACATTCTTTAAACTAGAACTCAAGTCCTGTCATAATCAGGTCCAGAAACACCTGGCCAGTTTGGTTTTGCTTGAGAGGAAGCATGATACTGGATACTTAAATCCAGGAATATCAAGGTCCAAATCCTGCCCTTGACCCTTACTACTCACATAACCATGTTCTAAATCATTTAACCTCTCCAGGCCTCGGTTTCTTCATTTGCAAAGTGGGGATGAAAACACTTGTAGTATCTACTAGACAGGCTTGTTATATGACTTACACGAGATATGTATGCAAAACAGAAAATGGTGGCTATTATTACTCTCCCTATTCATCTCTTAACCCCTTCCAGGCCTTGTACCTTTGCTGACAAGGCTTCCCAACACCTCCCACTCCAATCCATGCTTCTCTTCCATGTGCCTATTCCCACCCAGCCCGTCCCAGGGACCTAACCTTCCTCTGCACTCCTTGCACACTTACAATCTGTACTATCCATCTGTCTATTATACAGTGCCTTATGATAGCAGCTTCTCAGGTGTTAATGTCTTGCCTTCCCAGTTAGATTATACATTGAGAACCCAACTGTTTTATGGCAATGTAATGGAAACAAAATGGATTTAAGAGTCAAGATGACCTGAGTTTCAACCCTGGTTCTACCACTTACTGTGTGACCTAATTTCCTTGGGCCTCAAGTTTCTCATCAATAAAATGAAGTTAGTCTAGATCAAGAGATTGTAACATTTTTTGTATCATGAACCCCTTTAAGCAGTCTGGTGAAATCTATGGACCCTTTTTCTGAAAAATATTTTAAAATAATTGAAAGAAATACATTTCATTTAGAGGTAAGTGAAACAAAGGTGTTATTTTTTCCCCATCCAATGTCACAGATCCCCTTGAAATCTGTCCTAAATCCTAGATTCACATGACCTGGTCTGATCGATCTCTATGGTTTCTTCCAGCTCTAAATCTTGTTTCCACCACAGCAAACTGAATAATGCTTTTGCCTGTGATACAGAATCTCAAAGTGAACAGGAATCCCCTCTGCCTGGCGTTTTCCTCTTTAATTCAACCAATCTCTGATGCTGTTGGTCAAACCCTGAGAAGAATCCTGGTGAGGATCCCCCGTTTTCTCAGCCTGGCCTTCCAGCCTAATTCCTCGGGCTGCCCTTCACCACGGTTCCCCAGGCCCACACTCCCCCTTGTGCCTGCAGGGCTCTGCAAAAGGGCCCCCTCCTCAGGGTGCCACTTTCTGCACGAGCCCTTTCCTGCTCCCCGTCACTAACGCCCCCTCTCCAGATCAATTACTTAGAATACCTTTCTGCAGGAGGGGAGGCGTGCCAAAGGTCACCGGGTACCGAGCGGCGGGGCTGCGGTCCAAACCGAGAGCCTATTTGTTAAGCGTTTATGAGGGACGTACTAAGGGCCACGGCCCTGGGGAAACCGAGGCAAATGTGGAGGAATCTGGGATGTGTCGCGGGGCCACCCAGACCGCCCCCCACCCTCGCTGGGAGGCCGCAAGTGACCCGGGCCGGCTCACCCCCGACGCAGGCCAGCGCGGCCTTGAAGGCGCAGCTCTCCATGGCCTTCTCGATCATCTTCTGCTCTTCGCTCTTGGCTGGGCTCGGGATCCCGCCCAGGACGCCGGGCTCCAGGAGCCGCGGCTGCCGCTTGTCTCCCACCAGGTGCTGCAGGAGCAGGCTGTACTGAAGGGGGGCGTCGGCGACCGATTCGGGCGCCGAGGCGCCGGGGCTGGGAGCCGAGCTCGGCGCCGCCATGACCGCCGCCGCTGGCCCGCCTGCCTTCCCGCAGCGGCAGATTCCACACCAGCTTCCGCCGGACGTTCCGCTACGGCAGATTCGACACACCGCGCTAAGCCTTTCCTGGCCTGTCCCGAGGGAATGAGCGAAGGCCACTCGCTCCCAGAGCTACTGAAGAGCTATGAGGTTTTTAGTTTTTAAAGACACTTCCGTCGGACTCAAGACTTTGTCAAGCGGTATTAGTCGTTTGGGGACATGGGGGATATGGACCATAATCTCTATTTACAAGTCAGTTGCGCGGGGCGTGACGGGAGCTGTAGTCCAAGCTTGGGCGACCGCCCAGGCATCCTGGAACTACATTTCCCAGGGAGGCCCGCGCTGCACAGCGCCGTGCCTGGTCCTCTCTTTCCTTTTGGAGGCTGTTGTAGCGCCTTGCAGGGTCTCGAGAAGGGACAGGGAAAGGCGGGCTCCCGAGAGCAGGGCAGAGGCGCATGCGCCCAACTCCTCCCTCCTCCCTGGCTCGCGCTGCGGACCACGAAGCGCGGTTCCCGCGCTTTCCCACGTGACCCTGGGCTCCTTGCCTAGTGGCTTCAGTTTCTGTGAGGAGGGTGAGGCAGGAGGGCCGATGTCTTCCCCCAGATTCTCCCGGAGCCGGGTGGGACACTGACGATCCTGGTGGCGTGGATGAGCACGAGGACGAGGTGGAGGATAGTTAATTTACCTGTCAGGTGGCTGCTGCAGGTATTTTGCTCCCGTTTTACTGCTGGGAACAGCAAGGCCACGTTGTGCGGCCTCGAATGGCCTCTGTAGGCCCAGACTTAGAGGTTGGCAAGTCTTAACTCGCCCATTTTACAGATGAGGAAACTGAGGTCAAAGAGGATCCAATCCTGCCTTTGACACATTAGGCTTGACTTGAGTCATGTCACTTAAGGGCAGGAACCTCCCAGAGGCTAGACGGGGAGCCCAGAAGTCTGAGCTGTAAGAATTCAAAACTGTGCCCAGAATTCCAGGTCTCCTGCATTGGGAAAGGACAAACTTCCCCATAGTGGAACCCTGTACAGGGGTTGTGAAAAGTTACAAAACAGTGTGTCATGCCAACAGCACACGCATGCATATATATGCCACACACGCAACATGCATGTACATGTGCCCTCGGGCTACACAATTATACACGCACATATACATGTGTGTGTGTGTGTATATACTCATGTATACATGCATATGTGGATATACATATACACACATATATATTCCAGGTCATCAAGTCTTTATACACATATATGCATATACACATTCACACATACATGTATATGTGTATAACAAAAGACCCGGAGATACGTGTGCATATCCATATCCATGTGTGCATGTACATGTGCGTGTAAAGCAAAAGACCTGGAGGTGTGTGTGTTATATGTTTATGATATATGTATATGCATGTGCTGTTATCATAACATACATATACTCATATATATGTATATATATGTATATGTATATGTATATGTGTGTTGTATATACACATGCATAAATATAGAAAATAAAAGACCAGGAGATGTGTGTGTGTGTGTGTGTGTGTATGTAAAACAAAAGACTTGGATATGTACACATACACATATGAATGTATAGATAGACATATGTAATACATGACCATAACCCCTTATATCATTCCATCTATTCCTATGCCTTACCCTTCCTAAACTTACTCTTCACTTACATCCTGACCTCGAATCCCTCTACCCCTCAGTACTTTCTCTGGCCATTTCCTCCTCTGCCTTCACTTTCCTCCCTTATCATTCTCAGTGTTATAGTTAACAGGCCAACTCCACACTCCTTTATTATGGAATCCCTTCTCACCTTGTCCCATGGATCACTCATCTCTTGATGGTCTCCAGCCCTTGATTACTCCTACTATTCACTACCTTGTTACTACTCCCATGCTACATGTAACCGATGTCTGGGTACGCTACAGATTTATGTTACCTAGCCTCAACTGGGCCCTCACTTCAGGAAGGCAGTCCTTTTATTGAATCCCCTATCCCACTCCAGAAAGGGAGTTTCCAAACCTCTTCTCTCCTCTAGCCTTTCCTTTGCTCCCTCTGCCCTCACAGCTGAAGACATTGCTCTTTACTAAGAAAATTGAGGCCATTCGCCAGCTAACAATGGAAAGACAAAGAAAATTGAAATAGCTCGTTCCATAGAGGAACTTACAAAATAGGGATAATGATATCCGCATTGACTAATTTAAAAGGTTATCATGAGAAAAATGTTTTATAAAAGCATGACACTGTATACATATGTATTTTATATGTACTATGTACATATATATTTTATATATACTATATACATATAATGATATTTATAATAGCTAACATTTATAGAGTTTATAAGACTTGTAAAATATTTTACATCACATCTGGATAGTCACCTCCTGAGTTGGAGGAGAAGGCAAGGCCTCAGCGGAAATGTTACTACCTGTTACTGTATTCATTGGCCAAGATTAACTTTCCTGTTATATCCTCACACATCCTGGCTTAACTTCTTAGGGCCTTAGTTTCTGTCCCTGTAAAATGAGAGATTTGGACCTAGATAATCTCTAACATTTCACTCTGCCGGAGTTCTGAGGTTTGAGTATTAATTATGTGGATCCTAAGGGTGTAAAGATTCAAGCTAAAATTGTAGCTCCTTCTTGCAGGAAGCCTTTGTGCCAGTGGACAGGTGGGCATCTATCCAGTCCCTCCCTTTACAAGGCAAAGAGAGAACATTTCTTTCTGCATTGAAAATGGAACGGTTTTATATTGTTTCCTTCATAGCCACAAATCCTTCCTTTTCAAGGAAAATCAAAACAGGAATTACTTACAGTGATTTACTTTGGGAGGTTAGATAGATAACCAGAACATATATAAAGTGCTTATTTACCATGTGCCAGTTGTCCTAAGCACTGGCTCGGGATATAAATACTAAGCAGATCCTCAAGGAGCTTACGTTTTAAGGAGGGAATAACAAATAAAGAGGAGTTTGAAAGTGGGGGAGGGAAGGTAGCATGGTGTGGAGATGGCTGGGAAGTGGCTTGGAGGCCTGGTTCAGGGGTGGGGGTGGGGTGGGTGAAGAGATGGGGATGATGGTTAATACTGAAGGAAGCACAGTTTGGAGTTGGCTGGGACCGCACAGGTCAGTAGAGAAATTTAGAAATATGTAACAATCCAGGCCAGTCTAATAAATATTTATTAAGTGCCTCCTATGTGCCAGGCACTGTGCTAAGTGCTGGGGGATACAGTTAATAAAAAAGAAAGACAGCCCCTGCCCTCAAGGTGCTTACAGTCCAAAAGGGGAAACTACACACAGGAGGTGGGAAAATTGAGCAAGGGTGTGCGGGTGGCATGGTGGGAGGACCAGGCGTCTAGTTCCCTGGAGTTAAAATCAGGCAGGGCTGCAGATGCAGAGGAGAGATATAATCTAACATTTAATCTGGTAGAGGGCAAAGATGAGAACACACTTTTAAAAAGAGCCAATGTGTTATTGATACTTTTTATTTTTAGGTCACCTTCGTTTTCAGATGTGTCCTTTCTCTTTCCTGTACACAACATCCCTTGTGACAAAGTGTTGTCTTCCTTTGCCAGTCTGGAGGTAGGAAGTAAAGCCAAAAGAGAAAAAGTATTCACTCCCTTCTCTGGCCCCCACCTCTGGAATGTGGGTGTAAACACAGGTCTAGCCACATCTTCTCTCCTCTTACTAGGCAGTCCTCATTCCCTAGCCACCACCCATATCTCTGTCCTGGGAGAGCTTTGTCTAGACCTGCATGGGAAAAGGATGAGGGAGGGAAGCCATATGGCCCAATAGGCCAGCCTTGTCCCAGGCAGCAGAATATTCTGCCTAAGATCATTAGGAAAACTGCCTTTTGGGAAATTTATAGAAATTATTAATAATCGAATGAGCCTCCAGCCAGGAGAAAGCCTGGCATATTGGAGTACCAGGACTCTGACTTCTCTGTATCTCTCTGTATCAGTGTCAAAACAGCTCTACCCACCCCCACCCCACTCTGCAAATGAGGCAGCACACAGATCAACATCAATTAGATCAATACAATTTATCTAGCTGGCAAAAGAATTTTTGGTTTGTTTGTTTTTTGTTTCTTTTTTTTGGCTAGGCAGTGAGGTTAAGTGACTTGCCTAGGGTCACACAGCTCCTGAGTGTTTTGTGTCTGAGGCCGGATTTGAACTCAGGTCCTCCTGAATCCAGGGCCAGTGCTCTATCTACTTCACCACTTAGCTGCCCCTGGCAAAAGAAATGAAAACTAATTAAATAGAAATTAGCAAAGTAATTTTACAGCCAATATCCAGTTGCTCCTGCTACCACCTGAGTTCAGTTCATGAGCTCCCCATAGAGTGGGAATTGTATGTAGGCCTTAGAATTCACAATAGTCTCACTCCCAGGACAGGAAGAAAAATGACCTGTGTCCAGGACTACATCTCCAAAAAAAGAAGCAGACGGTTAAAAAAAAATAAGAAAGACGGAAAAGAAAGAAGTTCAGCAAAAATAAGCAACAATAGTCATTAGTCAATAAACATTTATTAAATGCCTACTATGTGCAAAACACTGTGCTAAGTGCCGGGTACAGATAAAAAAAAGATAATCCCTGAGCTTACAGTTTCAGAAAAGGAAGATGAAAAGGGGAGGGTAGAAGAAGGTATCTGGGACATGGTAGAGTCTGGTCCAAGGATGATACATCAATAGAGTCTGATGGCATATGTATAATATTCCATCACGCTTTTAGTCTCCTACCTCTTCAAAGCAGGGAGGGAGATCCAGTTTCTCATCCTTTTTTTTTTTTAAAGACAAATTTGGTCATTATAATTACACGGCATCCAATTTCACTTTTTTGATTCTTTCTATTTACATTATGCCCGTTACGGATATTATTTTCCACTTTGCATCAGTTCATAGAAGTCTAATCAGGTTTTTCTGAAACCATCCCCTAAATAATTTCTTATAGCACAACAGTATTCCATCACAACCGTATACCACAACTTGTTCAGCCA